AGCTGGTCACTCAATTCTCTGACGTCATCCAAACGGTAAACCGTTTCAAATTTCATACCGACAAAGGTACCAATGTCAGATTTATTCGCCAGGACATCAAATGAGGCCTAAAGGACTTCGCTTTACAAACCTAATCCTGTACTAATTTGTTTCCAAGTTGTTCAACTAGAATTTGGTCCCTGAACAACAATTAAGTTGCCTTTTTGCAATAGGTGATGTTGACCAGCTAACGCCCACTAACGATTTTTTTCACCTCATTTTGGTCTTTTCGTTGACGTCGGCCAGGGCGACTTTATCAACATAAATGCTGCTCAGTCTCTTTGATAATCACCTATTAAATGCACCCTACAGGATCTCGTTTAGTATCACTCGATTCTATGAAGTGCAAAAGTTTGCCGATTCGAGAGTTCTCACTAACATCGCAGTTCCTGATCAATACACAAATGTCCGCTTTAATGACTTCATCTATGACTTGGGCTAGACATTGTCCAAGCTTATTACCAGATTTCTTTAATCCCAGGGGGCGCACCCCTAACCAAGTGCATTACACCAATCTGGTTGAGTGGTTGTTAATGCTCCATGGTGTATGAAAAGCGTTTTACAGGTTTGTTAGCCAAGTTACATGTATTTTTCATTTTCGTCTTCGTCTGTACTGCGGAAATGCGCACTGTCATCTAAAAACAACGATGAAAAATTCTTAACCAACCATGAGGACCTTGTTATTTCAATAAGCTCTCGAAAGAGGGGTTTTGAGGTAACAACCTCACCGCCAACTGAGATGACAGCAGCGATTCGGGAGTACGCAATGTCAACTGCTGCATCGGTTTCATTTCGCATGCTGTTGCAACTAGTTTACCTATCTCTAAAAAATAAAAAAAACTAACGACAGCGAAGAGACTGAAAGAATACTTCAAGCAGTAGACATTACCATGGCGAATTTAGCGTTTCTATGCTGTAAAAAAGAGGCAACGCAAATTGTCTTACTAAATGGTGTTTCCAACCAATTGTGTGTGCTGTCCTTCAGCAGCAACTTGACGCTAAAATGCATGCGACTAAGACTCGTAACAGCACAGTCTTGGGACAATCCAGTCATTTGCTAGAAGGACTTGATCACAAACCAACTTTTCTCATTTCAAATTCTTGCTTTATTCTCCGAACATCATCCTATCGGGAGTCTTCAAGCGGACTGTGGTCCACAAATCACAACCAATGTCTACCAAGTTGACAGGACTTAAAACGTCGTCATCATATTTTTGTTTATGAAATGGCGTTTTAACGGTTAGTTGCAATTCAAACGAATGACACAGAATTACGACAGCCTCATCAAAATTCTAGCTCAAAATTGGCTTCGACTGGAAATAATTACGTGCCTTATGCCCACACTGGTTGTGACCTTTCTTCCACATCATCAAGTTAACTTAAAATGACTTTGTACCTGCCCTTCAAAAACTTGTCTCTCATAGCATTCCAATCACCGTGTCTGATTTCCTGATGACACACCATCGTTCAGCGAAACTCAAACCAATTAATCTGCCCGAGCAGCATCCGAAACGAGTTTTCCGCTAACATTTTCATGGTGAATCCAGGCACGCCGGGTCTAAAAATCTAGGACCATCTGTTCGCATTGACGAATGATGCTTAAATATTGACTGGTCTGCAATGTCGTTGGCTCACAGACAGTGAGGCGTCCTATGCTATAGGTCAGCCTTGGCGTTAGGCGAAGTAACGGTTCTATCTTCTGCCATTTTCACCTGTTCGAGACTGTTTCGATCTATTTACAAGTAGCGTGGCAGTGGTATCCAAGTGGCCTTATTTGTATAACAAGGCTGCAGAGCACGTATCTGATTTGAAAGGTTATGTGAAAATTTATCAAAAGCTAATTCGCTGCCTTCATATACGTGGATTTGTGTCCTGGTGTATTTGAAGCAAGCTTTATCCAAAGTTATTCGCTCAAATCTGTAGTGGACAAATTCGCCCCAGCTGTATTTGGTGCACCAAGAAATGAAAATCAGTCTTAAATTGGCAGCTGTGCCTCGGACTAACATTTGCCTGGACAACAAAGCACAAAACTAACCTTTACCCGTCAACTGAAATCGTTTTCACCTCAGGTAATACTTCTGCGCTGAAGAAACTCAAGGCTACCGTATTGGATGATTGCAAAATTTCAAGCCGAATTTTTCACACGTGGCCGAGGCATGCATTTTTGATTGTGTTGATGTTGCTTTTGTATTCATTTAAATAATATTTAGTCATCCAAATTATTCGTGAGTCAACAAATAATAAAGTGGCTCATTGAAATTAATTTCAAAGTGAAAACTTAAGTGTTTCGTTTTCGTCATTTTAAGTCAAACGTTATTAAAAAATAATTGAGTGTTGAAGCAAAAGCAGAAACATTCTCAAAACGTTTAGTTTGAGCGTCAGTTGGGTCTTAGAAATTGCAAAAATGATCTAGTAGGTTTCAGTACGGTGACTATCTAAACAGTCTAGGATACTTGACACCAAAGGGCTGCAATTTTGGTAGTTCGACTGCATTTCGCCACTAAAAGCACCTTGAACACTTTTCTAAGTTCTATGCGTTCTGAAAAAAGCGTAACAAACTGAGCCCTGTTCCCATAGTAAATTTCCACTCTTAACCTGCCAACTAAACGAACGTTTCTTAGACCAAGTCATAAATAGAGATGACAACTAGTTCGTGCATAGCAACACAATAGGAAAAGGAAGCTGAAACAGCCTTTCATTCAATGAAGCTGCTTTTGTGTGTCTGGTTTGGGGAATCCAAATGAGCATTTTTTCAATCTTATTCCATGCAGCCTAACAAAAACTGGCGGAGAAGCAGTGTAAGCACCTCACTCAAGTCAATGTTTAAATCCAAGAAAAAGCATGAATATTTGATGGGTCTGGAAGGCGCGGTTTTATACCCTGCCAACGCTAGAACACATGTCACTGAGTAGATAGAAAACAACTTTAGGGGTTTAAGAAGGGTATCTCGCGAAGCACCATCATGTTTCTTTCTGATCTCTCATTTTAGGAGTTGGATTCGTTTAAGTAGCAAACTATTGATTAGTTGGAAACGTTGTAATCTTCTTTAGGCATTGTTTGAAAAGAAACTACGCAAATTTCACAGTTAAGAAACTGATATCTGCAAAAACAATTGAGATGTTAATTTAGGAAAATGCTTAAAATTACTTTGGTGGAAACTAAAAACTGTTTCTTAAGGTTTCAAATCAGCCACGATTTTTGACAATCACCCGATTTTTCCGCGTTTCACCAAACCTTACAGCACAGGTGAACCCTTGAAAATGTGTCAGACGATAAAAGAGGGCTATTGGTAGCATCGGTTGTAGGGGGAATTAAGAGTGATTTTGGCCATTTGACAAGGTTGGTGAAATCTTGCATGATCTTAGATGTTATTTGTGACCACAACATAATAATTTCAAAATAAACACTGACAATGATATATTGTCAGATCAAGAAGCCTTCTAATAGCTTAAATTAAACAAAATTGTGGTTTAGGACATTCATTATAAGGGTAAAAATAAAGTAAAAAAGTAAAACGAAATGGTCCACTAGTAAACTGCTTTGCAAATGAAAATTCCATAAGTGAAATCGCTACAAAAAGGTTGACACTTTATTGGGAATTTCTTAAATAGATGTCTTGATTATTTAATATTTATTCATTCGTGATTTGCTATTCACGCTAAAAAATATCAGTTAGTAAAAGGTTAACTCGATATAATCCTGAAAAGCTTAGTACAATCCTTAAAACCCCTTACTCTGTGAACCATTTCTGGCGATTCATCCACATTAATATTTAAGCCCTTCCAGACAGTGTTCCTGCCAATAAATTTTAAACGTGCCATAAAATCAAGTGGTAGAGCCCTGCTTTGCTTCTGACATCTGGTACACTGGCGAGACTTGGCATTAATAAATTTTAAAAAAATTAATTTGCTGAGACACTTAGTGGTGTTGTCGTGTGCCTTAAGTCTGGTAAATTAAGTATTTTCCAAGACACCACCAGTGCCTCGTTCTCAGCCGTATCGTAAGCATGCTGGAGATATTGTCGGGAATTTTGAAATCAGCCAAGTATCTTTTGCCCTCTCTTGTCTACTCCCCAAAACACTTGGTCTGACATCATCTGGCAGACCCTGTCTTCGCAAGAGAACTCACCTAATGAAAATGGATGTGCTAAGTGGAGGCATTTCATAACAAAGGAATAATTAGTTCAGCATCCTCATTAATGTTATTGACGTAAGCTTTAAATCACTTCTTTCACCAGTTGTCCAGGCAACACTTGTTAATTCGGATAAGAGTAATGTCAGCCTCTTCTTACTTATTTAAAGAATCGCGTGTTTTAAATAGAAGTAGTGACATTTTTTTTAAATCTCACACTCTAGCATTAAAAAATAGGATTTGATAACACTTAGGCGGTAAAGCACAGGACCTTGGCGGAAATCTCTATATATGACAGGCTTTACAGTCACAGCATATCTAAATTTGTTTGCATCAATTACTTTATTACGGAACATGGCACTATAAGTAAAGTTTGATTAAAACAAAGACGCGATACACGATTCGGACAGTTTTACAAGTAAACCTTTGGGTTTTGGGGAGTTCTTTCCTTCAATTTAAACAAGCTTTCTACTAATGGGTAACAAAGACTAAGCAATTCATTTGGGAATAAAGGTAAATAGGAATGGCGACAGGCGAATTCTCCGAGCCTCAGCTCCCTTCTGCAAATGAACACCAAAATTTTTTTTGCTCGACTGCTAGAAATTGCAAAATATTAACCTTAACTCCTTTTATAATTGTTATTAATGACTGCCTGCACTTCTGAAATATATTTAAAACCAACAGATTACACAATCCGCGTCATTTTCAATGCGACTTTGACGCAGGAAATTTCGTCAATTTCATGAATTATAGCAGGGGTCCATGTTAGGCGATAAAGTCAACATAACTGCCCGACTAAAGACTGTCCATCCCGTTTTGGCTGTAGATGTGCTGGTCACTTGAAAACTTGCAATCATCCCATCTTCCGGCAGTTCAGGTTTCACATTTCTTACTTCAACTCCTACATCGGGTTTGGCTTGGCGAATACGGCTGAGGCGGCATCGGTGTGGCTGACAGTGCTCGTCTCCATAGAGCGCTACATGGCCATGAAGTTCCCCGTGGTGGCGCTTACCTACTGCAGACAAAATTCAGGAAAAATGCATGTTGTAATTATTCTCCTCCTCGCAGTGGCTTTTAATTTCCCCCTCTTTTTTATAATGCGAATCTCACAAAGAAATGTGACTTCGGATTATAATGAAACCCGAGTCGTTCTAGCCTCCCAACTGACGGCTTTTGGCGAATCAACTGACTACGACGTCTACATCTGGTTCCGATTCCTGTTCGTCCAACTATTTCCCCTCATCGCACTATGCATCTTTAGTAGCCTTCTTCTTAATGTGGTAAGTGAGAGTTACCGAAAACTGCGTTTCAATGAACTACCCGGTGCGCGAACGGAATGCAAGAATTCGCAGGAACTGGTAGAGGTTAGTGTGACGGGTGAGCGAAGCGACAGTACACAGCCCCAGCGCGTAATGAGACAAAGGCAGATGGATAGGCGGCAACGGGCTCAAACAAAGCTGACCATCATGCAGATTTGCGTAATATTTCTCTTCCTGATTGGCCAAATTCCACAAGCCTTCTCATTCGAGAAGATCTCAAACGCGATCATGCCGCCTGGGTGTGGGCGGTGCTGTAAATTAAAAAACTACTACCGCCTCTGTAGTCAAGTCTTGAGCCAAATAAGCTACTCCCTCCCATTCTTCATTTACTTCAGTCTAAACAGGTATTTTAGACAGACGTTTTTGAGTGGCTGCAAAACCAAGGCCGTGGATCAGTATTGCCGAACTTCAAGAGTTGCCTAGATGAGAAACCTACCACACTTCTACCTCTCCTACTTCCCTATCCCTCTTAACATTTTCTTCATAGATGCCAACCTGTTCCCGGATTATTTTTTAAAGAGAAAGCATATATATTTTATTTCCTTTTACTTTTAATTTCCCCACTATTTTGTTTTGCAAATGAAGTGAATTTTTCCTGCTTGAATGAGGGGTGTTTCAATGAATTCCACTTCGTTAAAATCAGTTAAATGAGCCAAGGAAAGTAGGCGACCAGTGAGTGACTGCCGGTTCCACCGAAACACTTTAGGTCCAACTAAAGCCTCATGTCAGTGTGGTGAGTCACGTCAGCCAGCATGACAGCACTTTAGAAAGTTCTCACTATCAGCCAATCTTGAGGACAAGCAAGGTCGTAAAGTTAGTTGGTGTCAGTTCCTCTCGATGCAGCCAACTCCCTTGGACCTGCTACGACTGCCCATTTAACGGGTACCACTAGAATACTTTGTCAGTGCCTACTGACCGGTAGTCAGTTCGGGTCCGACCGAGAGTAAACAACCATTTAGGTGGGACTGAATTAGCAATTAGTTGACGGTGACATTTTTTCCGGCAACACTAATTTTTTTAATTTTGGAATTTGGATTCCATGGAAATAATGTCAAATTATCCTGGGGTTCGTGGACTTAATCCGACTGCAATGGGCAACAATGTGTCTGCTTTTCCTATAAAACGTGAAACGATTGCAGCAAGCGAGGTACAGCAAAAAAATTTTTTCATCAACTACATTGAGGAAAGTTAAGGTTTCTCCGAAGGCCACGCCTTTTTGTTGATGGGAAGGAAAAATGTAAAATTGGTGAAGGATAATCCCTAAGCACACAAATTACAGAAGAAAACACTTGGTTTTTTCGACCGCATTTCGGAAAAAGGAGACATCAGTGATGCTCCTTTCCTCCATTGAAGCGTACACCTCCATTTCTTGCGTTTTGTCAAATGAGGTACGGTAGTTACGAGAGTCAACGTTGGTGCCACCGACGTCAAACAAACTCATTTAAGGGGTTTAATATATACTCAAGTGTCTGCTAACTAATTCTTAGACAGGAGGAACCTAAAGCAGGCGCTCACACCCAATCCAACTGCGTGTGACGTCAAAGCAAACAGGCGTTTTATGTCTTGTCACATCCCTGGCGGATTGCAAAAGTCGATTGGCAACATGTTGGATCTGCAAAGCATTAGCATATGGGCATTTATCATTACTCCTGTGGTGTAATTCTAGGAATAATTAATATTAAAACACAATCCTACCAGCCTGTAGAAACTGATTTACTGTGCTTTTCTGGACAGAAGTTTTAATGAAGAGACTGACGATAACCTAACTTAGTTCTCTTTTCCCCATGCAGATAATTTTATATCTTCATTGTATAATGTTTCTTGACGAATTCATTTTGATAGTTTATTTTAGAGTCGCTGTGTCAAGATCACATTAAAAGTACCTGCATACACACCGTGAGACCAATTAGGAAAATTGGATTTGAGATGTCCCCCACTTGGACGCGTCAAACGCCTACTCTTGTTTTGTTAAATTTGATTTATTAAGAAAAATGTGCATAGGTCATCCTAAATACACAACACGCCATGTTGTTGGTTTTATACATTACTTAAATATAGCACGTTAAATATTTAGCAGTTTCATCTTCACCGCGTGATATGGAAAATGAGCACTGGCCCGCAGATTGTGGTACTTAGAGAGATTGATGTAAGGGGTCTCAAGGTGACGAAAGGGGTTTGATTTAATTAGGTCAAGGGGCTGAATCGAAACCCAGAAAAGACTGGATTAACCAAACTAATTTATTTTCACGAACTTCGAACTCATTTTCCTTGATGAAATGAATTTCTTGTACGAGTACAGACCACTTCAAAACACACTTAGATAGCAGCGTGGGTGGGCTGCTTTTATTTAGGAATGGTGATTTATGAATGATAATTTCAGCGTTTAGCAAGCCAAATCAACGGTCGTAAAGACGTTTACAGAATCTCATTCGGCTTTACTAGAGCATTGCCATCAAACAGCGCTGCGAATCACAAATCAACGTGCTGTGATCAGATAAGCTTTAAGCACAAGCCGTGCTAACATCGGTACTTAAAAACGGCACCCTGCGCGGATTAAATTATAATATTCTACTCCAAAACAACTCGTTCACTTTACTTTAGATCCGCTGATTTACTTCGTCTTATTGTGTGCGAATGACTTCAAAACTTCACAAAATTACCTTATTTGTGTTTCAGATTGATTAGGTCTGTCGATTTGGGCACATGTGGTAAAATTATTTGACTTACTCGCTAAGAATTAGTTGAAAATTCAAACAAAGGGTCACTAATTATAATAACAATCCTTAACACTCAGTTGATTAACCAGAAAGGGAAAATGTAAAAAAGGATGCACACGCAAAACTTACTCTTAGAATCAACTCATAATTACGGCTTGAGTTTACCTATGTAAAATTCATGAGCTTAAAGGCTTTCAAAAGTGTAATCAGAAGTGTGGAAGAACTACTTACACCTTTTAACTGTCTTTTTCGAATAATCAAAACTATGTAGTCATGCGAAAAGCTGATTATATTTACTGAATGCAAGTGGGTGGGGCTGTCATAAGTTCGTTTCAGGAGAAAAGAGTTGCTAAAAAGCAAAATTAAGTATCCGTTTCTCACCTTATTACAAACTAAATTGGTAACACAGCTACAGCGTGACTGGAAGGACTTTATGGTAATCCGATTCCCCTACGGCGATGTGAGCTGTCTCACACAACTTTCGGCCGCTTTCTTGTGCGTCATAATAGCTTTTGTGGCAGAAAAAAGTAGTACATTGATAGAACTTCCTTGCAGCTAACGTTAATGAAAGATGACTAGTAAGAGCCAGCTCAAAGGAATTAGTGGAAATCTATCGGTTCAAGAAAGACTAATTCCTCAAAGTTCTTGTAGAAAATAATGTATACAAACTGTTCAGTAGTTCTCTATATTGAATGTGAACAACAGATTTAAGTCAGAATTATTCTTAGTTATCATCAGTACATACACACATGTTTGTACCTGCTGGATTACTTGTACTAGAAGGTTTGTTTGGGAGCCTTTAAACCATCGTAATTATTTGGTCACACAAAAATTTTTTTAATTGTTTGTACCCAATGATCTTCCCTGATGATAGTTGTTGCAATGCTAAAATATGTCGACTCAGCGCACGTTTTATAATACGTAGGACACAAGCAACATGAACTTGAATCCCGACTAACACGAAGCCAAAACCGTCAGTCAAGTGGAGCCAAAATAACCGACATTTAAATGGAAATAAAAAATAAACATCCATAAAATAAGACAAAAAACTGAGGTCAGATGGTAGGCTATCAGGGTTAATCAATTGTGGATAATTACAACCTAGATGATGTACAAATCGAATTATTGTCAAAATCTGATTGACGCTTGGAATTGCGGGGAAAGATGACATAGGATAACCATCAAGTTCAGCCCGGTTACTAATTACGAACAACGCGGTAACAAACCGTCCACAAAAAACAGGATCTTCCTTTTTAGACTTAATGTTCAACAAGTCACTTACTGGCATCCAGGCTCCAATCCTGATTAGCTAGTTGTGGATTTTAGTTTTAGAACTCAAATTAAATCGAGCGAGGAATTCAGATAATGAAATTGCCGTCCAATCACGTAACACTTTGTTGTTTAAGATATTCCTAGTCAATTTCTCCGCGAAGCTACATTATGCTGTTCAAGTTAACATAGTCCCGGCTTAATTCGCCTTATCCGAGTTTTTTTTGAAAATTAATTTTTTTAATATAAAAATTACTTATGTTTTACTTGTCAATAACCTGTCTTTTATTTTAAAAATCAGTTTATCGTTCTTTAATTAACATCATCCAAGCTTCCTCGGTTTGTTATGATTCGAGACAACGCAATGATTTTTTTAAAAAGGTTGATTTATTTTAATATGAAAGACTGGAGTTTAATCACATTTAACAACAGATAAATACAGCTTGTATTTTTTTTTAATTTGAATCTTTTCAACTTAAACACCCCCGTCGATTCTGGCAAACGCAATGTTGATACAAATCAAAACAAATTGCGCTTTTATTGGACACCAAATACCAACAAAGTTTGATGTGTGCGTGATTGGTGAATTTTGAATATGCCACACATCAAGCAATAATTTTTGCCCGTTAAATGGTTGGATTTTCAGAAATGGTTGTAGAAAAACAAAGCCCTCTGATTCTATATTCTTAGGTGAATTAATGAACTATTGGTGTAGATATTCTCTATCAAGATGTCGTCCTCCCAATTATCCTTGTCAATTTTACATGGTTGACAAAATCTACAAATTTGCCAGGTTATAACGATTTCTTAGTGAAGAGATAAGTTTGGTGGTGCAGCAAGGCAAGTTGCTTCTAGGCGCAGAGAAAAATTAACCCGAGGAATATTTTTGAAATTCGGCTGAGCTTCAAAAGGAATCCAATTTGTTATTCCCAACCACAGCGGTTTGGCTGGAGACAGCAAGAGTCTGGAGAAAAGGCTAGAGCAAGCAGTGATTACTGTATGCGTATTCCTCTTCTCTATTTTAAAATATTGAGGATTATATGTTCAACAGCAACAAGACTGCAAGTTGTACAAGTTTTGCATTATGGTGTTTAAAAAATTTGTAAGTTTTCACTGGTTGAAGTTGACAGTTAGAACCCCTACTTTGTTGACTTTTTTTAAATTTATTTTTGCAATATCAAGGAAATGCTATTCCGCATCTGGGAAAAAAGAAAAACTTTAGTGAACTGTTTAAAAGGAGTCCAGAAAATGAGTCTGCAAGGCGATTTCCATGCTCAGTGTTGTCACTGCTAGATTATGCGGTTTTAAAGTGAACAAAACCTAGATTGCAGAGATGAACTACCTTTAGCTAAGCATTTTGAACCCGTCAGCGGAGTCTCGCCATCTAAGCCTGAAGCCACCTGGAGCTTGGCACGATGGATGTGGTTTCAGCAATGA